AACAAAAATGAAATTTCCTAACAAGAAGCTATTTCCAAGAACTATACTGAGTGCACTTGTAAATCAGTTACAACTCTAAAGACAGAACTGGGTAAGACAGAGAGGCGTCTTCCTTCTCCTTCCTTTTTTAATATTAAATAAATAAAAGTGAAACACATTCAACATTTCTTTATTGCAATGAACTAGATAAGAGTAGGGAAATTCTCAACTCATCATCTTCCATTCCTGGTATAGAGAATGGAGCTGCCTCATCAACACATTTCTATTTCATTATATAAATTGTGCCCTATTTCCTATTTTTCTATATTGTGTGGAGAAGTTCAACATCAGTTTTATAAGTTCAATGTTTCTTAAAAATAATAAAACAAAAAGAAAGGTAAAATGAAACATTTCATTATGATTAAATGAACAGCTTTTTTGACAAAGGAATATTCAACTATTAAAATGCTTCATTTGCATTTGAATTGTGCCATTCATAACATAATATATTTTAATGAAAAGCATAAGCATATAAGATGGTCTATATAATTTAATAATGTGTTCCTGCTATCATAATATGTACATTTCTCTTTATATCCCAGGATGATTATTTTGCAAATAATTTCCCAAAAACATTGTTTTGCTATTCATAGAAAGAAAAAACCCTTCACTGTTAATAGCTTAGTTCTCTAATTATAGACTGACTTGTGTTTCTGATTTAAATTTTTCTAGATAAATATTAGTGAAGCCAGTTTAGTCTAGTGATTAAGATATCAGGCTAGAAACCAGGAGACTGTGAGTTCTAATCCTACCAGGCACAAAATCAGCTAGGTGACCTTGGGCTAAGTCACTTTCTGTCAGACATGGAAGGAGGCAATGCCAAACCACTTCTGAAAAATTTTGCCAAGAAAACCGTGGGGACCTTAGACCTGTCCAGGCAAACTTTGAGAACTGAACAGAAGGAAAAAAAAGCCCTAACATATAACTGAAAAGTTTTATGCAATGGAATGTCTGAGTTCACATTGAAAAAATTGAGTGGTAAAAATAAAATATATTAAATTAAACAAACCTACAATTAAAATATGCTATATTTTAACTGAATCTGATTAGGCTTATTGCATACAAAAATTTCAAAACTCAGGTATGGATAATCATAATATAGATTTCAGATAAGTGGCTATGGAATTCATTAGTTCTACAAGCGTACAAAATTTGCCAATGTCTGACATTTGGTTAAATGAGATGCTATTCTTACTTAAGCTATCTCAGTCAGTGGTGGGTTGCACTTACCTTCACTACTGGTTTGCTGATCGTGCGTGCATGCATTCCGCTCGTGCATGCACCTGACTCGTGATACACACATGTGCGCAATCCACCGCCCCTGTGACAACCATCTGATTGTCGGGGCTTGCACAGGCGCTGCACGCTGTACACGTGTGCGCAATTAGCCTTTTGCCATAAAAACATGGAACATGGGCGAGCGTACCGGTTCACTCTCAGCTGCTCTGCGGCATTACAGGTTCGGCTGAACCAGGCCAAACCGGCAGTAACCCACCTCTAATTTCAGTGGGAGTTTATCATTTTGTTAATGTACTGTCAATGGAACTGGAAATCCGGAAACTTCAGATAGGATAGTTCAGAATATACTTTATGCTGATAAGTGGGTTTAGAAAATGTGAACTGGGTTTTCTAAACTGGAGCCTTATCATTTTTCCTACCTTAGTCTGCTTTTGGATCAATTTAAAAACTTCAGGTCAAGACCTGGTATCAAGTGATCACCTGCCTCCATGTGCACAAATCTAGAGCTTAAAATATCTTTTTTTAGGCCTTTTCCCAGTACTGTATAGTTTATAGCTGAAGTATGATAGACAGAGAATATAACTCTTCACTAGTAGTATGTCTTCTGTGGATACATATTAAAAAGACTCATCATCGCATGTTAGCCATTTTAAAGCAATACAGTTAGTCTTCAACTTACAACCACAATTGAGAAAAAAAAGTCTGTTGTTAAATGAGACATTTGTTAAGTGAATTTTGCCCCATTTTACAACACTTTTTGCCAGAGTTGTCAAGTGAATCATTGCAGTTGGTAAGTTAGGAACACGCTTGTTAAGTGACTCTGGTTTCTCTATTGGCTTTGTTTGTCAAAAAATTGCAAAAGGTGATCACATGACCCTGGGATGTTACAAGGGTAATAATTATGAACCAGTTGGCTAACATCTGAATTTTGATCACATGATCATGGAGATGCTGCAAAGGTTGGAACTGTGAAAAATGGTCATAAGTCACTTTTTTCAATGCCACTGTCCCCTGAGTACCTTTCACATGTATATAGATAAGTAATGTTTATTACACCCAAGAAATCTGAATAGATCTTTCAAATGGGAAATAGTGTTCCCTTTTATCTATGCCTCATCCTTCCAGGCCACATTTGACTACCACGTTAGCAGAAGCTTGACAATGGACTGAATTGTTCAATTGTTATTAATTTGTTTCAATATACTATAGACTTTATGTTTTCATATTAACATTAAAGCAATATATTAGAAAAATGAATAACCTTACAATGTCTTCTTGAAAGCCAACATTGTTCATTTCTTTAAAGCAAAGAGGTGCCAATAGGAATATAATATAATAAACACATTAGCTATAAATGTACAAAAGGAACTTTTTATCACAGGTGCAAGGTTAATATTCATGATCATAATGGTATTTATAAGCATCTATCTGCACTTTGCTATATTTAAAATCATTTCAAATATGGATAACTTTAGTTCTGGTATATTTTACCTACTCATTTTCTGCTGAAAGCTACATATGCATTCAACAACAACAAAATTCTAGCCTGACATCAATACTGTAGAACAAAATGGTTTCTAATTTCTGTGTTCATATATGCTAAGGTTCCTAATATAGCTATTCACTGAGCTGTTTACATATTAAAGTACGTCAGCCACCTCTAATAAGCCCCTCTAATAAGCTCCAAAATAGCAAGTGAAGCTTGTAACACTAAAACAGAAAATTGCTTTCCTTAAGCAATGTACAAGAATCCGATTCTGATTAAATCATTCAGCAACTGATATTAAGATGCTTCTTGACTGAATCATAACAATTATAGCAACAAGCTTAAATACTATTAAAATAGAGGAAAATGAAGGTAATAGGGACATTGGGGTAACAAATCACTCATTTAATTAAGATCGCCATTATTCAAAATTATAATAAAGTAACAGCCAAATTATGGAACATCTTTTGCTAAAAAGCAAAGGGCACCACAAAGATTATTGTATAGTGTTTCTCACTGTAATATTTATTTACTAATTTTTATATGCCTCTCAGTTCCAAATCTTATGGGTAGCTAACATTCAAGAAATAAAACCCACAAAATAATATCAACGGTAACATTAATATAAAAGAAACAATTCTCTTCCCTATGAATGGTATGAATCCTCCTCCATTTTAGGTCCTCTATCAGAAGGCGTTTTAGGGTTCTGGGCAGTATCTTTGGTGTGACTAGTGCCATTAGGATGAGAATTTTTTAATACATAAATCAGGGGTGTCAAACTCAAGGCCCGTGGGCCAGATTCTGCCTGCGGGATGCTTAGATCTGGGCCATGGGGCTGACCTAGAAACAGCGAAGGACCAGCCTACGGTCCCTCTGCCAGTGATAATGGAGCTCAGGAGGGCCACATGCAGTCTATTCGAGGAGCTCCCTTTTCGCTGGGAGAAGTCAAGTGTGTCATCAGTTTGGAGCCCCTTCATGTCACAGGAAATCTAAGTCCAACTGTCCCTCAATTCCAATGACTCTTATCAACTACCAATTTGCTTTGACCTATGGTTCATAATTCAGACTCTTCTTTAGAGTAAGCATGGAATAAACTTGTACTCAGTTTGAATCTAATTGGACTCCTGATTTCTTGTACCTGATACACACATACATATGTGGTCATAAAAAAAAAAACCAGACACTTGTAGTTCTGCAAAAAGGTAGGTGGGAATAATGTACACCGTATACATTTGTATACTGTATTGCCTATCAAGGACTTAAGGTTTCTACAACAGAATTGAAGAATATGGATTTTATATGCTTGTAACTGATGTGCCCAAAATATAGTATGAAACTGAACACAGATGCAATGTGCCGTTAGAATATAATTATAATTATTTTAATGAAGATCAATTTTAAATATCATTCAACTAAAATAATATCACAGTATATAATAGATTATAGAAGCCAAGCAGTTCATATTGAATTTAAAGTTCTCTACCTCCATATTCCACTTGACTATCTGTGTAGCAAAACATAGAGTCATAGGAAAGGTAAATTATATACCAGAAAGATTAAATCATACTGCTATGTAAGCAGCAAATTATCTTGCTAAAATGACTCTTTAGAAATACAATGATGATCATTTTAATTTATAACAATCGTAGGTCATTAAAAAAAATCTTAGTTACAACATTTTGAGTCTTACACTGTACGTTCATTCTGGCCTGCTAATTACAAGTTCAATACCCTTAATCAAATAAAAAATAACACCATACTGATTAAATTTGCATATTACTATTAACTTGATGAACTACAATTGTAGATTGCTGTTTTTAACATCCTAGCATCCAGGTATATACCACATAAAGAAGTTTCATTTTCAACAGATTGCTCCATGTTGCCTAAGCTAACACAGTGTTTTTCTCTTAGGTGAAATATTAATTGAGCAATACAGTGACCTACATCCTCCTTCATGATGGGAATCTTTTGGTAATACCAACCAGCTACTAAATTGTCACGGAAAGAGCACTGCTTATACAATACAGTTTCAACTGTATTTTAATTGAAACAGAATAATTTGGATGCATTCTTATTTATTATTTGACCTATGAGTTTTCCGAGAGTGGGCGGCATACAAAACTAATTAATAATAATAATAATAATAATAATAATAATAATAATAATAANACACACACACACACACACACACACACACACACACAGAGCAAGATGCTTAAAACCATTTCCCTACCTTGTTCTTTTATTTGACGAATCTGTTTCACAGTTTCTTTCAAGATTGCACATTTGTCAGGTTTGAAGTTAAAGTTGTCAATATCATTAAAATTAGCAAAAATCAGCTCTGCAAGCTCTTCTATATACTTATTCTCTTGTTCACGATTACGCTTTTCAGTGCTTCTTTTAGGACTGGAAGAAAGTTTTAAAGTTATTAAAGAGTCTTTGATTAAAGAGTAGTTTTAATCAGAGTAGCAAAATACAGGAAAAATTAATCCATTAATAAATGAATATCTTGTAAAGATATTCCATTTTTTACAAAAAGCAGTACTATTTGTAGAAAATTAGATACAAAACTATTTGCTTATTGCAGAACACAGTACTCCAGATGTGGATTACAATGAAACTATAGTAGGGCACTTCAGTGTTTTAACTGTTTCCTTCTCCAATCCTCACCAGCCAAAGTGATCAGCATGCCTTATCAGCAGCAGGAAAAAGAGGAAGAAGTTTAGCTGAGGCTGGCAGGAGTAGTCAGCAGAACACAGGGTGGCCAAAAGGACTGAGATGCGGAGAGAGTTAAGTAGGTGGGTACCGTTAAAGTTGAGGTGAATACAGCAGGGCAGAAATGTGAGGCATTGGCCTAACAACAATGCTGACTTTATCTAACAATTACAATCAGGACAACTGAAACTGCTATTGCTAACTATGCAACCATGTGATGCTTCACTTAATGACTGCATCATTTACTGATGTAAATTAGGGTAATTAAGGAAGGACTACCTGTAATCCTGTTCTGGATTCTAATTAGTTAGCCAGCAAATTTAATTTATTGATATTACCAGCACAAAAGGATAATGTCTCAATTTCTAAAACTATTTTTTTTTATTACAGCCTCATAATTATCCATTTTAATACCCAAGTTTATATTTACAACTAGTCATGAAGATACAGCATGTACATTAATGGACAATATAAATGTCCATATACTTTATTTTTAGCCTGCAACATATAAGGTAATTTTTTGATACATAAGAAAGTACTTCTGCCAATTAATACTTTAGAACAGCTTGGGCTCTATAGGTTATATAAATACTGCCTTCCAGAATTTGGCAGCCAATCAACATGATCAGGACAGAGAATTTCTACTGTTGAAATCCACATAATTGTAAGAAGTCCATGCTACAGTGATTGCTATACAAGTAGTGATACAGGATTAGGAGTGGCAGATCTTGGGGCAGAGTCAAAAGAGAAATGAGACTAGAGTCTCTATGTAGCCACATACATACTAATCAACTCCTTCTTGAATTCCACTGATCCTTAGCTATTGCAAAAATAGTGTTAACTGTTAGTTGAATAGATTCCTATGCCTAGGCACGAATTGTATTAAATCAGTTTAGTTGGAACTTCATGTGGGGTCTTGGTTTTTTGAGCCTGACAAGACCTCAGTTCTTTTTTTCCCCACCCACCCAACCTCCACTATAGAGCAAAGACATTGGAGAGAAAAGGATTGAAAGAGATCAAGTTGTTTACTCTTCTACCATTAAAAGCAATGAGCACACAATCAACCCTTGGCACACTCTGCAAACAACTTACAGTATTTCTTGAAATCTCTTTTTCTCCAGTATCTCTGATCTGCTTGCAGAGTAGGGGGGAAAATTAACTGAATTACTTTCAATGTGTATTAAGACAGTAAGCTGAAACTCAATCATTCCAAACAATGGGGGAATGATTAGGAGGCAAACAAAAACTCAAGGTGTGAAACTGAATAGTTTTGTCTCTTTTCAGCTGGAAAATACTGTACAGACTACCTGCAGTGTCTTCGGAAACAGCTCTCCTGCATACATTTGTTTGCTTTATAAGAAGTTGCTCACTGTTCAAGACAATGAAGATTTAATTTATTGAAGACCTGTTCCTTTTTAAAATATTCACTCAACTTTATACTTTGCACAGGTGGACAAAGAAAAAAAAGCCAAACTCTTCAGCAAATAAGTATTATGATGAGAATCTATACATCAATTGTTATATATCAAGGCAATAATGCTTTGGAAACATGAAAATGCAGACTTAACTTCACATTCAAATCCAAACTAACCTCGGTCCAAGTTGATCAGGACATTCCTTACGTTTTCTCAACTCTGCCCGAGCTGGGTCAGAGGAATTTTCACCAATTCCACTCATCTTAAACACATATCAGCAACTGAAAGACACAGAAAAGTCAGTAGAAAAACGCATCATTTTTCTAATTCATATTATTTTTTCAAGCAAGCAGGATATGAAGACATACTGGCATGTATGTGCATGTGTAAGTCAACCCAAATAGGCATTCAAAGAATGAGAGTGTTTTTAAAACTAATTAATGACTTTTAAATATGTGAAACCTAAAGCTAAAATGAGATTTTCATTGCCAATTGCTAACTTTCAAGTTGCATCTCTTTCCTAACCCACAACTGCACTATTGAAACTTGATAATTGTTATGATTGTCAATGACCAGATGCCAGATCAATATTCAACTGAAAACATTTCATTATAAAATTTTGTTAAAATTTGATATCATTTATTACTATTTTAGATCATCTTGTGTTTTCATTTTCGTGGCACGACAAAACCGCGCTCCACTAAAGCGTGCCCGATTAAACCGTGTCGCTGACGTCATCAGCAGCGCGACAACAGCGACCGCGGATAAAAAAGGGCGCTTTAAAAAGCGCTTTGAAAGCAANAGGCCTGGTCAAGAAAAACATCACTCAGTCCAAGGGCAGATAGGCTGTGTTAACCCAGCATTTGGGCTCTCTGAGCAGTGCACTGGAGAAAGAAAGCAGTTTCAACAATGAATATGAGGCATCTCAGTATTCTGAAACTGAAAAACTTGCATCCAGATGTTGCAGATGCTCCAACACTGGAGGTTTAAAGAAGAGATTGGCTAACTATTTGTCTGAAATGGTATAGTGTTTCTGCCTGGGGAGGAGCTTGGACTAGAAGACCTCCAAGGTCCCTTCCAATTCTGCTATTCTGTTAAATTCATATTTATAACTACCTAACAAGTTATTTTACATTTCAATTTTCACTAAAGAAAATGAACATTTTTCATACTTAAATATTTTTTAATAAAAATTATATTATAAAGCCCTGGATGATTTCAGAAATTAGCTATAACACATTTTAAGAGGCCAATAAGGCATCATCACCACACTAATAATTTTTATTATCTTTTTGTGGCCTAGACTTGTGTTAGCCTTTTTTAACCACTAACAGCCAAGCAGGCCCCTCTTTTCTTCTCCCTCTTTCACCCATACACACACATTGTCAAAATTATTGTTGCTGTGGTATGTATTCTTTTTGTACTTTATATATATATTTGTATCACATCTAAGTTGTACATATCTATTTCTAATCATTCCGGGAAACTCCTTTGAATTTAATGCAATACAGATATTTCTGCAATAAATCTCATAGTTTCTGGTTAGAAGAATTTGAACAAAGGTTTTCAGGTCTACTGTGCCTCAAGAGATTTGACTGTAAAAGATAATTTAAGAATATTAACATATTAATTTTCTAAGTTTCCTAATTTATGAAATATTTTAAGATCTATCCCTTCATTCTAAATGAAGCATATTTTTATAACAGTGACTTATAACAGGGTATTATGTCACCTAGGGTCTATTGACTACTGATAAATCAATAATGTGATAATTGTACAATGCTGTAAGATGCTATAAAACATTTGTGTGGCAATGACATTATTAAACCGATCTTCTAAGATTATTTTGAAGATTCAATCTGCTGATTACTTTTTATTCAGTTTAATTTCTATAGAATTCAACACTGTTGGAGGAAAACATATTTCGTGAGCTTAACAATTTCAAGTAGGAGATACTAAGGTAACCCAAGTTTTGATAGAAACACACACACACACACACACACACACACACACACACAGAGCAAGATGCTTAAAACCATTTC